ATACAATAGGTTTAATGAGGATTGTCATTGGATCTTGGCAGTAGAAGGGCTGGAATATGGTACCTCCACCATGACATTGTGGTCCATGTGATGTCAGCTGCAGCTGCTGTGGGAGGTTATGAGGAAATCCAGACTCCCTCCCTCAAGCACATCTTGTCCTGCTACTCAGAGCCATCTTCAGGGCCCATCTGGTCTATGTTAACGTGTAGCCTAGGAACTTAGGGGTGTCAGTGCCCCTGGAGCTAGTTAGTCCTCAACCAAGATGGGTAGAAGACAATAGGTAAGATTTTTGTCCTTCAGGTGACAGTTAGGGAAGTGTTCTGCCAACTGTGCAGCAATATCATCTCCATTGCCCAGAGTAGTAATTTTAACAACATATCCCTTTGTGTGTGTGTGTGTTTTCTCCTTCCTTTACTCTTTCTCTATCCTTTTCCAACATTCTTGTTCCCAATTAAACCACCAGTACCTACGTCCTTGTCTTAGACAGGAGAACCAGTTTCAGATGAGTTAGTTATCTGTATGATCCTCATTAAGGGCCAGGCTAAATGCCAAAAAAAATATATATACTGTACTTCATGTTTTATCAAGAATGTGGACCTACACTTAATTTTCCCCCTCAAACTACACTTATTTTTTTCTAATATAATTTCTTATCTCAAGCTCAGTAACAGGTTTCCAGTAGCATTTATTCCTTTGTAAATTTAGAAAGACAAGAAATCACTAGTTTTTGAATATGATGAAGTTGTTAAAACTGTTGTCCTACATTGCTTATCTGAGAACCATGTGTCCCTTTTACATGATCTACAGAACCCTTAAACAGAGTCTAGAAGCAAATAAATAACTTATTAATCCCTTTGGTATTTTCTTATCAATACATGCAAAAAAATACTTTTTTTCCACGATTTTATAACAAAAGAGAAAACAATTTATTTATATCCAAATAATTTGCTTGTTCTTTTTGTCAGTATAAAACAAGATGAAGCTACCAAAAATTAGAATTAACATTCATGATTTTAAAAAGGAATATCTGCAAGAATGAAATCTGAAGCAAACAGATCTTCTGGGTCACAGGATACCAAAGCCTGATTTATTATTTTTAAATGCTGCTTTCCCACTTTTTAGTAAACTTGCTATACCACTTCTCACTTTCCTTGTTTCTTTATAAGACTTTGCTTTTCCATGAAGAACTCACCTCTTCTCTCTTGTCTTGATTTGTGTCACCTGAGACCTGCCACTTCAAGTTTCAGGTCTAAGTTTGGCATTTGTAACTTAGCCTCAAACATCACTGGGGAGATTCATGTAGGATGGTGACTGTGGAACTGGAAACTACCCCTACTGCTAATCCCCTGCCTTCAGAAAAGGAGAAAACAGACTCTCATCAGGAGGTTGCTAACCCAGAACACTATGTAAAGCATCCTCTACAGAACAGATGGACATTCTGGGTTTTTAAAAATGATGAAAGTAAAACTTGGCTAGCAAACCATCCACTGATCTCTAGGTTTGATACAGTTGAAGACTTTGGGGCTCTATACAATCTTAGCTAGTTGTCTAGTAATTTAATGCCTGGCTGTGACTCCTCAAATATTAAGGTTTGTATTGAGCCTGTGTGGGAAGATGAGAAAAACAAACAGCAAAGACAAAGTGACCTCGATGGCTTTTGTCTAGAGACACTGCTGTGCCTTATTGGAGAATCTTTTGATTACCACAGATGTATGTGGAGCCGTTGTTCATGTAAGAGTTAAAGGTGATAAGATAGCAATATGGACTTACTGAATGTGAATACAGAGAGGCTGTTACACATATAGGGAGAGTATACAAGGAAAGATAGAGATTGCTTATCAGTCTCATGAAGACATAGCTACTAAGAGATGCTCTACCTCTAAAAATAGGTTTGTGTTTAAGAAAAGGCCTTCTGAGTGTTCTCAAAGAAGACTGCCTCAAGTAATTGAGATTTGGGGGTTGAGGCAAAGCCTCTTCAAGGGCAGAGTGGACTGCACTTAATTTTGATTCCATCTAAATGTTGCAAAGATATAAGGAAGTCTAATTTACCTTTGTCTTGTATTTTGATGCTCATTTTTTAAAAAATTAAAAATAGAGTGTCCACTATCCCAATCAAAGAATTACAGTCAACACAATCTCCCAGATTTCATAAATGTGTTCCTGGCCCATTTTGTATTACCTTAATAGAATTGCCATTACAAACAAGTTTTACCCATTGACAATATTTAAAAAAACTTGCATTTCTATACCTTAATAAGAAAAAAATTGAATTTATGTTCCATTGTATGCAGGGCATATTCTGCTGGTTTGAAAGAATATGATGCATACAGTTTTCTAGCAATTTTCTTTGTTTCTTTTGACAGCATTATATTTACTCTACTCTTGATGATGGGTGCTAGATTTTAATTTATTTGTTTCTCTACTTGATAACACTGATGATTCTGATTCCAGTTTTCCATTTCCCTCATGTTACATGGGTGAAGCATCTAGGAATATGACACAAAAGTGGAATAAGTATTAATTTTGTGCATACTTTTATTTTTTGTAACTACAAAACTTTGCTACAAATATATGCATTTCATTCAAATAAGGGATTTTGTGTGATTTCATGAACAGAATTATGGATTATAAAAAAGTAACATCATAGTTACATTTCTAACTAGAATTAGTATGCCTGATTTCATATCTTTATGCTGTATTTTAACACTTTGTATTACTTAGGTAATTTTGCTTTGGTTAAAAATGGCTCAAGCAAAAAAGCAGTCCTACTCATTTTAAGACAGTGTACAAAATGGTAAATAAAATGTATACAGTGAATTGTACTTTAAACAAGAAAAAATCACTGGGATATTCTTTTCGACTATTTTCCATCATAAGATCTCTTCTAAGAAGGAGAACCATCATTCAGAAATTATATGCTGTGACCAGCACAGCCAAACTGGTGGTTCTGGTGAGGGGCCATGGGGAATTAGAAAATATAGAGATTCACACATGCATATTTTGCAGATAAAGCTGGCATCTGGTGGAGCATTGCTCTCTGATGGAGAAGCAGATCTAGAGAGTTACACCAGCAATATTTATTTATGTATGTCTCATTATCAGGATAAAGATATGCAAGCATTATTCTTTATACTCAGGTAAGTTACAGAATTAAAAACATCTGTGCAGCTTCTTCATAGTTGCAATCCACATTGCAATGTGCAATGTTAGGAGCAGTTGTGCAGAGCTTAAGAGCGTACATTGTTTAAGCCAGCAGGCTCAGAAGTAGCAGAGTTGGTGAAACATTGTGGTTGTCTAGAATGAGAATTTCTCTATTCCTAGGAGCTATGTGCCTGAGATCAAGGTAGAAGCTGATAAGACTCTTGCACAGATCTTCCTCAGGCAGGGCATTACCATAGTAGCTAGGCATGCTATACCCTCACACAGATATTTTCCCAGGTACCTGGTGTGCCACAGGTATAAGGTCATCAAAGACCCCCCCAATCTCAGTCACTGCTCTCTCATTCTCTGTCACTGCTCTCCACAGTTATATACTATTTTTTCCTATGCTGCCTATGCATAAATATCATGCACCTAGACTAGGTCCTTTAGTGAAAATGGTATGAGTTAGCATCACCATCTCCTCAAAAACCTATTTTGAGGTTACTGAAGGGCATACATTTAAAATATTAGGTGATTAACATATTCAGGAATTATACAATATTTTATATAATAAAAGTGCCTAAGTTATAATGTCAATAATCTCAATTTATGAGTTTGAGCATGGAGTGGATTTAAATGTTGTTATCCTATTATAAATGTCCATAGGGGATGAGGCTGTAGCTGCCTCTGGTATAGGTACCTTTATCCAATATATTGCCTCTCTCTGTGTGTTTTCATTGATGTCACCCACAAAAGGATCAATGTATGGGGCACTTTCTGAGACACACACAGCATTTTCTTATTTTCTTGTATTCACTTCTATCTTCTGTCTGGCTAATCCAGAGAGCTTCCATCTCATCTGTGGTGAAATATGGGAGCAGACATCTTGCATCATTCTGCCATCTTCATAAATCTGACATTTGTGGAGAACATTTTGATTTTATATTCTTGAAAATCCATTTTTGACCTTAAAAATGTTTTATTTCAAGTTTTTATTTCTTCCAAAACTTTTAGAATGCTATTTTAAAACTCAAAACTTAAGCATTGCTCTTTGTTTTTCCACAAAAATACTACATTTATGGAATAAAGTATTCACCATACTCACTGACCCCAAAAAGGATAAAGGCAGAGTGAGAGCATAAAGGAAATGCAGAATGTAAAAAAAATCTTTTATTATGATACAATATCATTTTGGTACTTCAGCTGTGGTGTTATTAATATGGCCTGATGAAGAAGTTAAGGACCTAAGAAATCTGATAAAATTTCAACATAAGCTCTTCCATTCTTGTGCACAACTTAAATGAGTTCTAGGAAAAAGATAGAGGAAAAGTATACTCTAAGCAAAGACACCACAGAAAGAGATTTATTTATTTAATTTTCACACAGATTTTGGATGAGGGTGATCCAAATCCAAGTAGGTAAATGGGTGGGACAGATCTCTTTGTAAAAGGCAGGCAATCATGTAATAATAAGTTGGAAGATTTTATAAGAGTAAGTAATCTCTGTGGGAAAAATGTTTCATGAATTCCACTCAAGCAGGGCAGGGAGGAGGGCATGGAAGGAGCAATACGATAAACCAGAACAGGAAGTGGGTCTAAGTCATGTAGCAAGGCCTGCACAGAGAGCTAGAGTCAGCCAACCATTCCTCTTCTTTCTTGTAAATTGTGATTATCTGAAATAGCAGACAGCATGAGGTTGATGGAACCTGTGCCCCTGTCCCAAGATCAAGCCATTCTTCAATTAGCCAAGAAGTCTTCCAAATACATTTAGGCATACTGCATGCCAACTCTGCACTCCCAGGCTCCCTATCTCCAGTTCCAGTTATAACACATCTGAATCCTTACCTCTCTGTTTTCTAGGTTATCACACATGAGGTCCTATGGTGGCTGGAAGTTCCACGGGAGTCCAGGACTTGGATGATGAAGATGGTGCCTATTACAACACCCATGAGGCCAAGAGACAATCCCAGGGCACAGACCAAAGTCTTGTCAGCTCTGCCATAGGGGTTGGAAGCTCAGGTTCTGAGAAAAAATAAACAGTCACAGGACAGGGTGTGTCTAGGGGGAAAATGGTGCATGTGTTTGAAAATGCACAAGACAACTAGACCTTGGGGAAGAGTGAAGTCAATTATTGACAACTTTGCAATTGTGGGATATAAAGTTGTGGCAATGGGGGTTAAAGGGTTAAGACAAGACAATGTAGCTTGGGGATTAAATTGGAAGGTAGACAATGATGATGGGATTTAAACATACCCCAGTGCTTGAGGAGAAACTCTTCTAGGCTCCTGTGTTCCACCTTGCAGTCATAGAAATCCTCAGTGGAGGGGACAAAAGTGAGGTAGCTGAACTTGAGGAAGGAATGATCACTCTTGGGATAGAAGGTGGTCTCAGCAATACCTTCTGGAACTAAATGTCCATTGGAAAACCAAGTGATATTGGTCACAGGAGGAATGATGTTATCCAGTAGGCAGATGAGAGTGTTGGGAATGCCCGGGGTCACAGGAAATTTGGGGAACCCAGCCACTTCAGGGATTTCTACAATGAAAACAGCACATTTATTGTTATTTATGATAACTGTGCTTCAATATTTTTAACCATTTTGGAGGAGCCTAGTATTCTCCAGATACTTATGATATATTTTCTTGTCATTTTAGAATATTTTTATACCAATTACTGCTTCTATTTTTTCACTTTGAAATTTAGAACACGTCTCTGTCTTTGGGAACCCTCAGGGCGTGTGTGTGTGTGTGTGTGTGTGTGTGTGTGTGTGTGTGAGAGAGAGAGAGAGAGACAGAGAGACAGAGAGACAGAGGGAGGGAGACAGAGAGAGAGAGAGAGAGAGAGAGAGAGAGAGAGAGAGAGAGAGAAATGAACCAGCTTAGAGCTTATTAGGCCAAGAAGTTGGGAATATCCTTGTGTAGGAATTCAAGGAACATCTCATGGAACCTAGCAGAGGGATATTTAAAGTTAAATAAATATGATGTGGACTAAGTATTTGCCAATATGTGTACTAGAAATGGGGAGGAATTTACGATGTAATGGAAAGAACACCTAACCCCCGGGGAAGGAAAAGATCAGACCTGGACTGTGAGGTAGGCACAGCGTAGAAAAGCAGAATGTGGACACTTACCATTGGTGGCAGGTGTAAAGTTGGAATCTTTAACCAAAGTGTCCAGATTTTTTTTTGACCACAACAAGGTTTCTCAGGGCCTTCTGAATTTCAAATGTCGTGAAATTGCTAAACTCAGGCTGCCTCCACACAGTCTCCTTTTATTCCAGGTCGATGTAGAATAGTTCATCTCCATCAAATTCTTAGGTAAACTGGCCATAGTCACCATATGTCTGGTAGATATTTGTGCCATAAGTGCCGACATGATCAGCTGGAGAATTCTAGAGCATGAAGATGAGAATGGGCAGGTGAGATATACGGAGAGGAAAAAAAACTTCATAAATAAGAAGGCATAAGAAATACTGCGAATATTGCAGTGTATTACTCTATTTGGTTGCTCTAACAAAATATCATAAACTGCTGAGAGCCACTGCCAAGTTGGAATGACGCATGGCAATTTCTTTGTCAGCCTACCCAATGTTGCTTAGAGGAAGGACTCTCCATATTGGACCCAGGTCATTTGCAGTGACATTGCATGTAAGGTGACCTTGCTCAAGGACCAGGGTGGATCAGGGTTTAGGGCTCTCCTTGGGTTTAGGGCGGTTCCAGGTTTAAGGTGTACCCTGCTGGGAATAGGGCGTATCCTGCTGCCTCAGGCGCGCCGGCTCCTTGAGTTCCCGTTGAGTTCTCTCGGGATTCAGAGAGTATTTGGGATTTTGCCCAGAACGTGTGTGTAAAGTGCCGGTGACAGTTCGAGAATAAAGAGTTGCTGTTTGAATCTACAAGGTGTGTGGTGGCTTGTGATTTTTGTGCCCAGCCATACTGTGGCAATAAACAACCTGTATTATTCTGCTTATGGACTCCCAAATCCATGTCTTTCCCAATTGCATTTATTCTATCTCAAGAGTCTCAGAGGTTTTTGACTTGTTTTGGCACCAACATAAAAGTCTAAAGTCCAAACTCCCATCTAAATATCATCTAAATCAGATATCCCTGATTCAAGGTATTCTGAGGAAAATTATTCTCCAGTTATGAATCTGTGAAATCAAACATGTTGTGTGCTTCCAAAGTACAATGGTGGGGCAGGCATCAGATAGACATGCCTGTTCCAAAATGGAGAAGTAGAAAAAAAGAAAGGAGTGTCAGGTCTTGAGCAAATCCAAAAACTTTCAGATAGAAAATAATTTTCTTTGGTTTGATGTTTTGACCTCAAGTGTCTTCTGGAATAGTATTTGGGCCTACAAGGCCCCAGAATGTACTGACCCCAGGGCTTTGAGAGTCTCCACCTTCATGCCAGTTCTTTATGGTGGACTTATCTAGGTATTGGCTGTGTGCCTGGTTTGTACTGCCCTGGATCTCCTGGGCATTACCCTAATAGGGACTTTCCTCAGTGACTTCATTGTTTCCAGGGCACTTGCTCTCTAGGCCTTTGCTGGATGGTAGCAACTCCAATGACCTCTGAAGTGTATTTGAGGTCATTCTTCCATTGCCTTGGATAACAAGTCCTGGTTTCTCTTTAGATGGCTGACTAATCTTGCCATTGTTTTCAGACTAGCACCTGGTTTTGGTTGAGATGACTAATCCTTACTAATATTCTTATTAAATGGTCCCTTGGCCATCGCCTGCTCTTTCCCAAACAGACCGTCTCATTTTTAACAATAAGTATAGGCTAAGGATTATCCAAATTTTAAAGTTCTGCTTATTTTTTATTATAAATTTCATTTAAGTCATTTATCATATAGTAAAAATAGCCAAGAATACCCACCACTATGCTGAGAAATTTCCTTACCCAAATATACAATTTAATTTCTTATAACATCTACCTTCTAGGAAACACTAGGATACAAACACAATTCAACCACATTCTTTGTCATAGGAAGGATCACCTTTACCACAGTTCCTAATAACATGCTCTTCATTTTCAACTGAGGCCTCATCAGAATGACCTTTACTTCCGAAAATTTACAAGCAATTTTTTCAGGATTACTTTGATTCTTAGGTATTACTTAGGTATTTATGGTGAGCTGCTTCTGCCGTTTCTGCAGACTATGGTCGCCATTACAAGATGGCGCTGGCTCCGCTGTGGTCTGTGACAAACAACTCCTTATTTGGGAGAGTTGGCACATGATTTTTCACCACCCTATGAGAAAGCTCCACGTGGCAGCTTTGCATTGGGGCTTGAGATGCTTTATTAAGGCTGGGAGGGGCATCCGAGAGGGAGAAGAAGAAATATCAAGGGCCTGAATAAACCGCTGAAAGAAGATTCCTGAGTTGCGTCTTCCTTGCGGGCAAGGGGTCGCGACAGGTATTCACTAAGGAGATTGAGGCTCTCTCTTTATAGTTCTCTTCTTTTCCTTTTGGGCCTCTGCAAGAATTATCCTTCATATTCTGTCCATATTGTGTGGACCTTTTATAGCACACAGCAGAAAATCTTTGCAGCCTGTATCCATTTTGCAATTCCAAAGCTGTTTCCATACTGGTTACACCAGTACTGTACCATTCTCCTGGTACCTATTTTCTATCTTATTCCATTTGGGGTTGTTTTAACAGCATTCTATTAACTGGTTGAATTATAAACAGCAGAAATTTCTTTCTCTCAGTTCTGGGGCACAGAAAAACCAAGATCAGGACACCAGCAGATGTAACTTTTGCTGAGCCTATTCTCTAGAAGGCCATCTTTTCACTGTAACTTCAATAGCAGGAGGGGCAAGTGAGGCTGAGTGCAATAGCATACACCTGTAATCCCAGTGACTCAAGAAGCTGAGGCAGGAGGATCACAAGTTCAAGAGCAGTCTCAGCAACTTAGCAAGGCTTAAGTAATTTAGTGAGACCCTGTTTAAAAGCAAAAAAATAAAGAAAGAATTGCGGATGTACTCAGTGGTAAAACACCCCTAAGTTTAATTCCTAGTACAAAAATAAATAAATAAATAAATAAATAAATGAAAAGCCAGTGAGAATTTTTAGAAATATCTTAAAGGGCACTTGTCTCAGTCTAATAATCTATTAAAGTCCCAATCTCCTAAACCATCACCTCAGAAGGTAGGATTTGAACATACAAATATGGGTAAAGGACTAATAGCATGTGGTTTCCTATTTTGCATAGTCTGATGTCAAAGTCCCCATTTCTGTCTTTTTCCTCTTTAAGTTATTGAGACATAAGGTTTAAAAATTGACTGTTTTAATTTTTAATTAACTAAAAATTAAATTTGTTTTTATGCAAATTGTCTTTTCCATGATATTGTGTGCTTCATGAGAAATAAGGATGTTATGTTTTATTCCCTTCTGTACCTTGAGTACTTAGTAGACTTCATGGCATATAGTAGGAATTCAGTAACATTTGTTTGATAAATAAATAAATGATGATTAACAAATATGTTAAAAATTTCATTGTATTCCATTCTTTTATATTTTTCTTTGCTTGGATTTTTTTTTTGGGGGAGGTTAAACTTTAATGACTGTTTCAGTGTCCATGATGTAGCAGTGTAAAGAGCTAGAGAGGAGGCTGATATGAACTGGGGTGAGTCATAGATTAAGAACAGAAAAGCAGAGAGAGTTACAGAATGATGTAATTTAATCTGTTTTGCCCTCCTTCTAGTGCTTTGATGGTTAGATGTGACAGGACTTGGAGTTTGGGCTGAGCAGCTGAGACTAACTTATTTCTAAGTCCTTAGGTTTTCCATCACACATTATCCCAGTTATCTGAGACAAAAAAACCAAGATGTTACACTTATAATAATGCCAAACCTTGGCACTTATAGAGCTCTTTATTACTTAGAATATACATTTGATTATTTGTTTTTATTTGTGTGTTTCTCAGAATATTGCGGCAATTAATTATACACATGTGAAATCTGAAGAACAACATATGGAACTGACTTGCTCAATGTCATTCTGCTAATCATTTTA